ACTCTGAGCTTCTCCGATTTATTCCAGTGTCTGACATAATTTGGGGGAATTCTCCATCACTGTTGCTTCAAATATTGTTTCCATTCCTTTCTTCTTATTCTGGTTTCTCACTACATGTATGTTACACCTTTTGTAGTTGTTCCATAGTTTGGGGGTATTCTATCTTTTTTCAGTCTTTTTTTCCTTTACTGTTCAGTTTTAGAAATTTCTAGTGTCATATCTTTCATCTCAGAGATTCTTTCCTCAGCCATGTCTACTCTCCTAATGATCCCATCAAATGCATTGTTTGCATTTGTTACAGATTTTTTTTTATCTCTAGCATTTATTTTTATATTTTTACTTAGAATTCCCATCTCTGCTTATGTTATCCATCTGTTCTGGTATGTTGTCTACTTTTTCCATTAGAGCCCTTGGCATATTAATCGTAGTTATTGTAAATACCTTATCTGATCATTCCAACATCCCTGCCATCTGAGTCTTAGTCCAATGCTTGGTCTGTCTCTTCTGTGTTTTTTGCCTTTTAATATGCCTTGTAATTTTTTACTGACATCCAGACTTGATGTACTGGATAAAAAGAACTGTAAATAGATCTTTAGTAATGTAATAGTGGGTACTGGGGGAGGGAAGGCATTCTATAGATCTATGATTAGGTCTTAGTCTTTTAGTGAATTTGTGCTTCTAGGCTGTGACCTTCTCTAGTGCTTCTCAGTAACCCACCACCGGGTGGGACAGGATGGCTGTAGGGAGCTGGAGTTGGAGATTTCTTTTCCCCCAGATAGGTTAGGCTTTGATAAAACCCCAACAGGTTAGGCTCTAGTAATTCTTCCTCTCGAGGGCGATCTTTTTCAAGAAGCACAGAAATGCTCTGCTCTGGGTGTATTTCTTTTTTTTTTTTTTTATTTTTTTTTTTTTTAACGTTTTATTTATTTTTGAGACAAAGAGAGACAGAGCATGAACGGGGGAGGGGCAGAGAGAGAGGGAGACACAGAATCGGAAGCAGGCTCCAGGTTCTGAGCCATCAGCCCAGAGCCCGACGCGGGGCTCAAAGTCACAGACCGCGAGATCGTGACCTGAGCTGAAGTGGGACGCTTAACCGACTGAGCCACCCAGGCGCCCCTCTGGGTGTATTTCAAAGTGGCTGCTTTCCGTCTCCTTCTGCTGGAAGCTTAGGGGTTTTTTTCCTCCAATCTTTACCTTGATGATCTGGTAGGGCTCTTAGGGATACAACTCACAAAAGTGTGGGTACCTAAGACTAGACACCCCTCTAGAGTTTTTAAGTCTCAGACTTGTCCACCTGAGCCTCATTAATTCATTAATTATGGCTTAAGCTTTCCTACTCTGGTGCTGGTTCTCACAGAGCTCTCTGCTCATCAGTTTCTGTTCTGGTGGGTTAGGTTTCTTTGTATTCACCTGTTTGTCTCTGTGGTTTTGGGAGCCGCAGTTTGTCCTGTAACCTCAATTATCTGACAAAAAGCTAAGAAGAGTTGTTGATTTTCAGTTTGTTCAGCTTTTTACTTGTTAGAACAGACTGATGACTTCCAAGCTCTTTACATGTTGGACTGTAAACAAGTCTTCTCTCTAATTTTTTATGATCCATTTTTAGATGTTGTTAGAAATTTGTTATTATTATTATGGGCCTTTGAGATTAATGGAATTACATTTGGAGATTGGAGATTAAAAATATTTTAGGCAACAATCTGTTAAAAATCAAAATGGGAAATAAATTTCCTTGTGTCTTTAAATAAGATTGCAGAGAAAAGTCCTTTCACTTTAGGGGTTTCCCTGCACAAAACACTTTATTTCATTATGTTCACAAAGTTTTTCTGACAGTTTTAGAAGTTTTCACTTAAAAAAAATCCAGATCTGAAACACAAAGCTTAAAAGAGAAATAGAAAAAAGAGGAAAAAAACTTCCATTTATCCACAGTCATTTCCAAGCCTCAGTTCTAAATCCAACCCTCCTCAGCAATCTGTAATTATGGACCACAGCATTTAGCTGTCTATGTATAAGAAAAAAATGAAAATTCCAAGCAATAACTCAAAACCTCCATAACCAAGCAAGCTACTTTTGATACGTAGGTTGTAGAAAATAATACTGTGGTACGATAATGATTAATTCCATTAACAAGCATATTGAACACCAATCTCTTTGTGTAATTGGCTAGGTGCCGGTAAGTTAATCTTACTTTTCCAAAGCATTATATTTACTTATGAGAAGATAGAGTATTCATACAAGTTGGTATTAATTTTAATGTAACTTGTAAGGAAATGTAATGAAATCCTTCACTAGAAATAACATATTGTTCTGGAATGGGTGTCTTTGGGGTCAAGGGATCTGGGGTGCCATCTGTGACATTTGGATAAGTCACCTTACTTCTCTGAGGCCCCTCTCCTTCATGTGTAAATTAGGAAGTAAGAGCTCTTACAGGATTACTAGGATCAGATGAGATAACATTTGTAAAGTACTGTCACACACTTTCTATTGGGCATTATATGTTAGTTCCACTCCCTTCCATTCTAATACGTATATAAGTGCTCCTACATTAATGGAGAGCAGAAGTATTCTTTTGTTGGGGCCACATTGTGCTTTAATTTTCGAATTTGAATGATTTGACAACATTTAAAAAATTAAAGGAGTCCACATAAAATCTGGATTTCTGTTTTTTCCCAAAATTTACAGTGTCTGGGACCTCCATGGAGGATCCATCTGCTAGAGCTTAAGAGCATTGTGAGCCGGGTTTTGAAAAAGGTTCATGAACAGAGTATGTGCTTAATATAAACTTAAAGCTGTGGGTCTCTGACAGGACCTCTGATTCGAGCTGGCTCTCATGGGTCCTTAATGGGTTTCTTTTGTGCTTAAAGATGATCAGCAATGAAGTACATAGCTTGACGTCAGTGACATTCATCCACACAGATGGAGGATTAGCAAGGAGATAGTTCTTTTCCAGTCCAAAGCTTAGCTTTTATTGGTGCACACATCCCCCAACCCCCTTCACCACCAGAAGCACATTCGCTGTCATTTCTAACCTATAAGGATTAGGTTAGAACACAAGAAAAGACAGAAGGAAGGTTGGTGAACTTGGCAATGCCCTTCTTCATAGGCAGAACGAAACAGACTATTGAGGCAGGTATCTGCATAAATCAATCCAAAACAAATCAAAGACATTCCAGCATAAAGGGGATGTTTTGTAAAGGGAATGTTTTGCCTGAATTATGGAGCTAATTATCTCAGTCCTCCACTTCAGTGTTCCTGGGGGGACCTGGCTTAAGAATGCTTTCCCAATGAGCTTCCAGATTCAGAAGTGCAGAGAAAATGTGTTATTGTACCCGCCGCTGCGGAACCTGAGCCCGGTTGCTGCCTCTGTCCAGAATACCTGTTGAGAACAACCAAGCTCAGACTAGCATGGCAGGCTAGAAAATAAGGCGGGGGGTGGGAGGTAGGGTGGGCTTCAGAGAAGGCCATCACGGTCTGCACGCTGGCAAGAGAAGAATGCCAGCTCCCAGAGAAGCCACTCCGGGTTGCTTTTTAAAATCTTTACAACTTTAACGCTGTCATAGAAGTTATAGATGATTTTCATTTTTCTGTTTAAAATGGATCTTTTTCTCCCACAACTTTTAGTCATAAAAAGGGCAACTTATTAATGCAACCCTTCTGCCTTCAAAGTATGAAATTAAAAGATTATTATAACTACAGGCAAGAAAGCATTTGGATTATGTGGCATTTGGAAATGACAATAAAGATTATCCATATGGTCTAATGTTGTCAATGTCTTACATTGCATTAGCAATCACCTAATATGGGCGTGATTTTGATTATGTGACTCATTTTAAATTCTGCTGTGTCCTAGGTCAATCAGAGTCAAGATGATTTACTAGAAATAGCTGCCATTTTCTTTTGTAAATGCTGCTGAGTGCTTAGGCGGAATTAGCATATTTTAGGACGTGATATCTTTGGCATTATGGTGCGATAGTCTTAAACCTTCTCACTTTATACCTTTCTCTTAAGCATCTCTCATTCTATTCTTGGCTGTCCCAGGTACATAAAACAACCTCCGGTAGTAAGAACTATAAAAATTTGCTTCATCTTTTTATTTGTGTGTCACTTCCCTTACGTTTTTATGGCTTTGTCCAGGTATCTGTAACTTGAGATTATGAGTTTTTGACGGTCACTGAGCAGGATGCAGAGGCCAGAATTAAACCGTGTCTCTAAAATAATGGGAAATCTCTCTAACTTCCTTGACCTTTTTGTATTCTCTTCCATGGAGGGAGGGACATAGGGACTTACTCCTTTGCTAAACTCTCCACGGGACACCAACACCTTGAAATTTCCATTACCCTTTGCTCTGTTGACCTGCCTGGATGAGGAACTAGTCTGGAGTCATGGGGAATTTAGTCATGTCACAGCCATCTGAGAAGTCAGGATATGCCATCCGATGCACCCGAGGCCTGAGCTCCCCTGCCCTGGGTAGGCTTGTGTGTCATGCCTTCTCCCTTTCTGCACATCACCCAGTTGCACTCCTGTCTTCATTCCTTGCCTACTTTTGTTTTTTAGTTCTACAATACGCCTCCTAGATCCGTCCCTGGATTATTTCAGTTTTGTTTGGCAGATATTTACTAGGAGATCTACTCTTTGACACTGAATGTAGAAAAAAATATAGTAAAAAGTAACTCTAGAAGCTTCTCAGTAAAATAGATTATGATTGTATTGTGCTAGGGCCATTGGTCATTTTAATTTAGCGTATAGCAGGAACACAGAAAGTAATATTTTTAGGCTGTATATTCCTGATGTCACTGTGGGTTTTTTGAGGACGGGCAGAGGATGTTTTTCATCTCTGTGTCCGTGCAGTTGGCAGAGAACCTGACATCTAAAAGCCACCATAAATAGATGTTTTGAATGAATACCAATAACTCCATAGAAGTTATTCCTGCACTCAATACACATGTCAAGGCCCCATCTTCCATTCACATTGCATGTCTATATAATGAACTCTTTGTCCTAAGGAAACTAGCCAAGAAGCGGAAGGAGACAATGAGCAGCACCCGGCAGGAGATGACCGTGATGGTGAACTCAATGGACAAGAGCTATGCCGAGCAAGGCACCAACTGCGACGAGGCGTTCTCGTTCATGGACACGCACAATCTGAACGGGAGATGTAAGTACCTACATTTCTTAGCTTCTGATACATTTCTGTGGTTCTTCAGGATACTGGATAGTCCTGGGCAATTAAAAAAACAAACAAAAAAATAAAACTCCCTGAAGAATCCTTATGCCCTGTTGGTTTCCCCATCCCCTTAAGTGATTCTGAAAACTTCTCTGGGAGCGCTGGATTGCCTAGGAACGGATGATACTGCGAAGATGGTAGGACCAGAGCAGGGAGCACAGGTAGCCACAATTAAGTTTCTATAAAGCCTCAGAGAGCATTAATGAGAAGGCTTTTTTTTTTCTTGACGGAGAAGGCACCTGCTTCTCATCAACCTTTTTGTTGTTGAGTTCCTGTTCGTAAGTTAGCCAGGTGTGGAATTGCACAGTGAAGCCTGTTCTAAAACAGTTCGCTAAATTGAGTAACAAGTTAGTTGTTTATTTGTTTAGCTGACAGGTTCTGCCTTTATTATAGGGCTATTAGCGGCAATTAATAAGTTAAACTGTATTTGCGCTTCACACGTCTTCCATCTCACACCAGGTGGGTAAACCGAGTTTCAGCTAATACCTTCCCGTACTACCACCTGTGATCCAGGTACAAGGCATTATTTTAGAAAGCTACCAATCAGATTGAGTATATGAAGAACAAAAAGGAGCAGTTGTTTTGTCCCTGGTGATCTTCTCAGAGACCAGAAGTAAGTCCCACGTTGGATGCCTGATTCTGTAGTGCATGGCCATGCTGGGTTCAAGGTCAGAGGTTTCTTTCCTGTGTGAAATCCATGCCCACCGACTGCTGCTGATGCTGGCTGCAAAATTCAGCAAGAGGATGGAACAAAAATGCAGCTATCACCGTGCAGAAAGGCTGGAACCGTGACTGGGAAGCACAGAATTGGGGTCTCAGGGGCTGGGGAGCAGGGAGAGGCCTTATACCAGCGTGGACAATGTATGCCGCGTCCTGACCACCCACTTGGCCTGTTCTTTTTCTGCAGCTCCCAGGCGCCTCCCCCCATCTCCCAGCCCCTTCTCCAGTCACTGTGCGGTCAGTGTCCACCTCTCCCACACTTTGCCTTTCTCCTACATTCAGTGAGGCTCCCAGAGACTTCTGCCGCTGACTGCTTTCTGTTTATGGTGGCTGTAGTTGCCTACCTCTTCCTACTTAGAGGCACTACATTTGTTCTTCTACATGCACACCTTGCCCAGTGGAGCAAGGGTTCAGCAAGCATGTCTGTCAGCTGTCACCCCAGTGGGGAGGGTGGCGCTCCTCACCCTCGGTCATTGCTCTTTGCCCTTTGGTGTCATTTTCAGTGCAGGTGACATAATCTATAGTACTCCAGTATCCCAGAAACTACATCCCCTTTTTTCATAGAATCTTCTCTTTTTTTTTGTATCAAATAGTTTATATATATATACATATATATACACGTACATATATATATACGTGTATATATATATGTATATACATATATATATATATATGTATGTGTATTGCATTCAGTGACCAAATAAAAACAATTTGCGATGCACTCTTGTAGGCTGGGATGGGAAGAGTCCCGCCTACCACCAACAGGGTCAGAATCCTGGTAGTAGTGATCATTTCTTCAATGTCATTATGAAAGAGGCCACACAGAAAGGTGTTCTCACTTTCTAGGATAACCCATTAATGTTCCAAATTTCCTATTTCATGGTGAAACTCCTCACGCATAAATTTACTAGGAATTACCTGCCCAGAGCGGAAACCTACATGAGTAGTTTCTAGGCTTTTGAAGTTTGAACAACAGGGGATATTAGCCTCTGGACAGGAAATTTAATTTGGCAGTTACTTTTCAAAAAGTGAGAGTATCTGTAGAAATCCAAAAATGCTCAGGCAAAGAGGCAGCAGCAGAAACCAGCATCAGCTTCCATGGCTCATCTGCCATGAGCCATTATTTTGTGCCTCCTGTCAATAAAGCCAGTGGAGGAGGAAACACAGCAGTAGGAGTTCCATTTGTCCCCCACTCTTTGAGCAATGACAAGGTGCCATCGAATCCCCAACCATCAGGAGTGACCCTGACAGCAGACTTTATCGTAGTGCAGTCTTAGTGCCTTCAAAATAAAAGGCGAGCTGCTGAGGGAGGAAATGTGCAGGAGAGGGGTTCATTAGACCCCTAGGCTTCCAGCCCCAAACCAATTGCAAGTCTGGGTACGTCTGACATCTTTTAGGGTCATGAGGCAAGTAGCTCTTAGAAATGAGACACTGAAAAAAAATGAAATTGGAAAATTTAAAAATAAGCACAAGAATATTTATGAGAACGGGGGATCTGTCCACCAAAGCAAATGGGAGTTGTACCATCTTCTTTTAAATTTTTTTCTTAGTGTTTATTTATTTTTGAGAGACAGAAAGGTACAGCGTGAGTGGGGGAGGGGCAGAGAGAGAGGGAGACAGAGTGTGAGCAGGGGAGGGGTAGAGACAGAGAGGGAGACAGAATCCGAAGCTGGCCCCAGGCTCTGAGCTGTCAGCACAGAGCCCCACACCAGGCTTGAACTCACAAACCGTGAGGTCATGACCTGAGCTGAAGTTGAACACTCAACCAACTGAGTCACCCAGGTGCCCCTGTACCATCTTCTTTTAATATGTTATGCCAGGGGGAAAATAAATGTGTATGGTGGGATTGGGCTTAATTTTTACAAAAGACAGGAGTATTTAAAATACATTTTTTTAAAAAGTGAAAATAAACACGGCTATTTTGTATCTGCTTTGCGCATGTTTACCAATGACATAAAAATGTCTGCAGGTAATAGGCGTTCTTCTCGCTGACCCTAGCACATTTTATAAGTACTCAGGTTTTTTGTTCTTATTTTCATCAGTTGCTCTCTTTTTTCCTGGCAGTTTACCATAAACATGCATTATAAATATGATACCTCTTTAATTTAGAAAAATATCTTATAAATGACAGGCAGTCTGGATTCTGGTTCTTGGTCTGTCATTTATTAATTCTACATTTTAAAAATATAAGCAGAAGTTTAAAAACACCGTCATGAAGGAACTGCTTTAGGAGAGCTAAAATATATTAACGTGTCAGCAGAATAAAGATAACACACAGGTTTTTAGTACTGTATTTAGTACTGTGTTCAGTACTGTATTTAGTACTGTGTTTAGTACCTAAACACAGGTTTTTAGTACTTCTTCCCATAATAAAATGATGTAATTGGGTATTAGTGTCCTGATCCAAAACTTTAGCATCAAATAAATCATATAACTACATCAGAAAGTTAAGATTTAGATTTACGTTTAACCAGCTTAAACACTTGAGCACAGTCAAATCATTTATCTTTACACTTTAATGAAATTAAAGTGATTGTAAAGCACTAATCAATTAAGATGTTGAAGAGAGTTCACAAACTACTTTTAGAAAAGGAAATATCCACTTTAAATGAAATCAGATAAATTGGATGGGATTGACTTCCCCTCTCCATAACAGGGAGGGAGAAGAGGTCTAAGAGTTAAATCCTCAATCTTTCGGAGGAAAGTTTCAAAGAAAAATAAGCATTTTTTATAAAGATTTAAAAGACTGATAGAGCGATATACAGGCATGCAGCTTTTGTCTTAAATATAGTGCACATGAAACATCACCTTTATTTTTCATAAACCAGGTCATAACTTTGTGGAAAGTTCTCAGAATATCCAAAATAGGAGGAAGGAGAGGAGTTAGCAAACTGCAAAAATTGACATTAAAATTCTTCAAAAGCCACATGTAGACACCTTCTCATACCCTTAGTTTAAAAAAAAAAAAAAAAAAAAAAAAAAAAAACAACTTGGTGTGATGCTAGAATTCTACAAGCAAAGGCTAGAAGTCAAAATAAAAGTCTAATGAATTTCTCAATTCAAAATGGCGGCAGAGGTTATGGGGGGTTTTCCTCATTTGTGGGGTAAGAAAACCTTTTAAGCGATAAAAGGGTACCTGCCTCTAAAATACAAGTGATTCCCTGGAGACAGCAGGGAATGATAAGATTGACCACATAGGCTTCAGTAGATGTCTGGCGTTTCTTCAGTCAGGTCTCTACCAGTATGGTGTCCTTCTGAGTGACCTTGGAGGGCTGTGTTTTCAGGCTTTGCCTCCTGCAACTGCTGACTAGTTCTTCTCTCCTTTACAGCTGTGTCTTCACCATCATCCTTCACAATGAAAACGAATACACTGAGCACATCGGTGCCCAATTCCTACTACCCAGGTAACAGATTCTTCCACTGTTGCATCCGTGCATAACCCCTTAGCAATCAGTATCAGTCCACGCTCTCACTTTGCTGTCCATGATGCTTTAGGAGCTTAATATGTGTGATGTGTTGTAACCCGATGCTTTCTATGGCTTTCTGCGGGAAAAGTGGGGGGCCTTTCATCAGTCATTTACTGTTCTCTCTCTTTTTACTTTCTCTGCATTGACCTGCTTATGATGTATGACAGACCCATTTGTGCCAACTGCAATTTTAGGTGAGAACATTTCCCTTTATCACAGTTTATTGCAGGAGTAATTTACAAAGTCAGTGGCCACTCTGTAGGAGCCTGGAGTTCTAGTCTATATGATGCAGTGATTGTAAGCAGGACAAGGGGGTGGCGGGTGGCCTGGGGGGAGGGCAGAGATAATAAAAAGACTTTCTCCAAACAGTCTCCATTGATAAGAAGGGTTAGCCTCATGTTATGTTGGAAATGATACCAAAAGACTCAAATGAACGATCCCAGCTCTAGTATTTTCCCTTTCTGTGTTCAGAACTTCAAGTCAGATTTGATCCCAAGGAAAAACAAGTATGTCATCACTCAGCTGTGTATTTCTAAGAGCTGAATTCTGTAATATGAGGTCGTAAAAGTAAAAATCACTTCTTATTTTCACTTATCACTAAGCACTAAAAACTTCAATTTCAAAAATAGCATTTTTTCTGATTATGCCAAATGTTATGCAGAAAAATGATCACAGTTGAGTTTTGGCCCCCTACCCCTCCTCCACGCCACTCACGGCCCCCGCCCCAGCATTCCAAAGTGTCTGTCACATGCTGGAATTTCAAAGGAGCTGATGTTCTCAGCAGCAAAGTGACAAGATGGCACTTTATAATCACATGGTGTATTATGTGTCAGATGTCACGAGAAATGAAATAAAATGTTAGCCCAGTGGGGCAGAATGCAGTGAAAATATAAGCTGTTCCCAGCCAGGAGCTGCAAAAAAAAAAAAAAAAAAAAAAAAAAAAAAAAAAAAAAAAATCCCGTTTGTCCCATGTAAGAGGGTTTTGGAGAAATGGCACTACCTGGCTATAACCAAACCAACATGAGCTGCTATTGCATTTGAGATGCATAAATAACCTAAGTGTATCACAGCTGTGTTCTCCTTCTACTACTAACCTTACCAAAAAGGAGCACAACACAAACAACTTCAAGGTATATACCAATTCACCGTAGCAAGACTTTCATCCACAGCTGTTCGACTTTCTGCTTCCTAATTCTCTTTACAAGGGTTGATATCTTTGCAACACAGTTTTTCCCCCTGTGCTTCTCTTTTCTCTGAGTTGTTACGATTTTCGCATAGAGGGTCATTTGTTTTCCTTACGGTGTTTTCTGGGCTTAAGCAAGTTTGTGGCCTGAGTTCCATAAGAACTCAGACAGAAGTTTGAGAACGGACATAAACCCAAATTTTTGAATTTGCATCATTTTGAGGGCTAACAAACAGAGCTCACCAACCCCCCTCCCCCCCCCCCTTAGAGTGCCAGCTATATGGGGAGAAGGCTGCATTTTTATTCTTTTCATACGTAAGGGGCACAAGCTAATTTTAGGCACCCGAACAATGTAATCTACATGCAGATGACATTTGCAGAATCTTTCGAGAAGCGAAGATTTGCGATTTCTTTGTGTGCCGTGGCATTCATCCTGCAGCTCCTCCAGTAGACGTTCTGACCTTGGGGGAGCTGGAGTAGGGAGGGCTGAGCTGTGCACCGTCGGAGGGAAGAAAATGTTCAGATTGCACAGCAGGATTAAGATAAGCTTATTAAACAAATATCATTTTTTAAAGTCGCTGCTTTGTTATTACAAACACTAATGACATCTTTTAAACTTGGTTAGGCTTCTCTACCAAAAGGGAATCACTTGAACAGACAATTCAAGTAGCAAACATGATGTACGTTTGTGAAAAGTAAGTCAGCCAGATTGACAAGTAAGTGTGATCACATCTGGCTTACGTATGTACCAACGCAGCACACGGCAGTGCTTACGAACTGTTCCCCCCACGAGTTTGGTGCAAATGTGAGTCTGTATATCGCATAGTAAGCATTAATGAGGTTATCCCTTGACACCATGGGAAGAAGATAAGCTGTACATCTACTCTGGCACATTTGGGGAACAACGCTATTGCAATTTACAATTAAGGCGAGCAAATGCTCACAAAATTTTTGTGACTTGGAGCTTGGCACCCTAAGATCCTCTGTTATCTCCACCTTTTATTCTTATGTGCTAAGGTGCCCAGCTTAACGTACAGAGTTTTAGTACGCCTTTACATCATTGTCTTGCCAAGACAAAAAGAGAGACAGAGAGAGAGTAAGGGAGAGAGAGGGAGAGAGATTGATAGGTAGCTATGTAGACAGACAGATAGATAATGATTGATAGATATAGGTCTTTCTCGGTAAATAAATGCTAATAGATACTGATATCAGGATAAGTAGATATAATAGCACTCAGAAACATAGCACTCATTTCAATTCTAGTTCTTTCAGCTGGTTTGTTGAGAATTCAAGATAATCTATTAAAGGATATAGGTAGAATTAATTCCCAGTTCTTCAGAAACCATCAGAACTGTTAGTGAGAAGCTGTGTTCCTGATTTCCTCTTAGGCAAAATTTGTAACTGAAAAACATTGTTAGTGGATAATTTTTAGGCAAACACAGGAAATCAGTGACAAATGATATATATGTTATCAGTGATCATTCTTTTTAAAAATCACTAATTAAATCGCTAATTTTAATCACGAATCACTAATTTTGGTGGAATCAAAAATTTCTAATAGGGTAGGTGACCCAGTTTCATAACACATATGGCACGAGAAACCTTCTATTCTCCCCTTGATATCTATGTACTCGATAATAGCACTCATTTCTTAGATGGCCTCGGTAGCGTTTAAATGCATAAAGATGGGTCCGCACGCTAGTTATGAGGCCGAGATCATAATGCAGCGGGGGTGGGGGCGGGGTGGTGACGAGCATAATGGTAACAGTGGTTGTCGCTCTGGGAATTAAACCTTCCAAGAATGCCTGGCCCTAGGACCAGAGTTGTGTGGGAAGTTTAGAAGGTCAGTCCACAATGGAGGCCATTTAATTATGTTCCTCCCAAAAGGTACAGAACTGAGAGGAGAGATGCACAGGGGGGAAACTAATTAATGTTCCATTTATTTTAGTATAAAGAACAGGACTTCCTGCTGGAGTGGCTAAAAGCTCCACGGGCTCAGTACTTCAGCAGGGACCCTGCACCCCCTTGATGAGCTTGGCAGTCGCCAGCAAGCAAATGTGATGTGAAAACATCCCGGCTTACTCGCGGCTGTCCTAATAAAATGGGAACATCTGAGTGGCTACATTTCAAAGCAAATCCAAATGAGAGACCAACTCATAAAATCAACTTACCACCCTTTTTTTATTTTGTCTTTGTGTCTTTAGCCACCTTGTAGTGACCCAGGTGCCATTTCAGCAACAGCAACATAACTACACTTGTGTCCCACCTTTCATACCATGCATCCCCAGGTGCTTTGCGATGCAGATAGTACTGAGGTTTGAAAACCAGGCCCAGCTAACCGAGTGTCCTTGATCTAAATTTCCTTTGGAGCTGAATCTCTCAGTTAAAAAAAATAAAAAAGGAAAGAAAGAAAGAAAGAATACCCATGGCTGAATTCCCTATATGGACAAACAATCTGGTAATTTTTTTAAAAATGAACATACCCGTTTTTTATGGATGTTTTAATTCTTTATACCTGAACTCAATTTTGATTTAACATTCTTGTTTTAAGTGAAGGGAGCATTGTATTTTGTGAGACACATCCTCAGTCACAAAACGGCTAAAGGGATTCAGCACTATAATGAGCTAACCTGTAGCACGTCCAACTCTTAATCTAATAGCACCTTCCTGCGTAAGACTTTTTTTTTTTTTCCAAAGCTACAATTTCTGCAGTTCATTAATCTAATTTGCTAGGAGTCTTCCGTTAAAATATAGCCTCTTTAGGCTTATTTGACCAAATTTTGACATTAGTTTTGTCGTACCATTTGGTTTGACCTGTTCGAGGAATTTAAATGAGAAAATGTGTCAAGTACAAATAAGACTTTTATCTAGTCGTTACTTAGTTCATGGGGGATAAAAAAGCGATTATGATACTATTTTAGCCTCCTTTTTGTTATTGAGTGTTTAAATAAGACACCCCCATCCTAACGTGATGGGAGACTTGAGGCTTTGACCTCTGATCACCTACGAAGAGAAAGCTTAACTATAAAAGTAAAGCACAGAATTAAAACGACCTGTAATTATTCACACAGTACTATTGCTTATGCCCTGTTTCCTTTTTCTCCTCCTCTTTTCTCCTGATATGTACCTTCTTAAAAGTGCCAATAAATGGTAAGTTCCCCCATTCGCCCACGGAAAAGGTGTGGAGGGATCGGGAGTGTGTGTCTTATCTGTAGATTCGGACAAAGCCAGCTGGTTCTGCTGCGTGCCGGCCTGCATGTTAGCTCTTGTAGAACATTCCATGTGTGATGTGCTGGTCCACAGTCTTCTGTCAAGCTTTCCGTCACTGGCGCATGCAAGGGACCCATCAGACCCAGTTCCGTTTTCAATTTCCGCTTTCCTTGGATTTCATGTGTCAAGTTCATGTTTTCATCGCTAGCTTTATAAGCCAACCCATTCTGTGCACTTTTATTTTGCTCACGGAACATTTGTACGGAGTTTGTTTACTTCATCATACAAACTGGTCAACGGATCTTTGGAAGAATAAATACAAGGCTGGCTTCGCGCCAGGCCTTGGTGAAGTTTCAGGCTGAAACTTCCATAAACCTCAGCACCCAAAGGCTGAAGGGTTCCTCCCAACTAGCTTTGTGAAAGCGATATATCGTTTGGACTGCTTTGTAAAAACGGAGATCTCTGCCTCATGCCTATCAGTATCGCCAATCCCATTCAGGTTTCTAAACATTTAACTTTCCTCTTTGGCTGGGCCACCACCGTAGGGACTGTGGTGGCCGTAGGTGGAAGGGATGGCGCCAGCATCTTCTTCACGTTCTCGGGGGCCCCGCTGGGCCTCCCTCACGCCCTTCATGGCCTTCTCTTCCCAGATGAAAGCCACACGATGGCCAGCGACACCAGCAGCCTGGTGCAGTCCCATACTTACAAGAAGCGCGAGCCGGCCGACGTGCCCTACCAGACCGGGCAGCTTCACCCCGCCATCCGCGTGGCAGACCTGCTCCAACACATCACGCAGATGAAGTGTGCCGAGGGTTACGGCTTCAAGGAGGAATACGAGGTGAGAGCCAGCTCCGCGCGCGGGGCTCCTTCTTGGCCCCCCGGGCCTGCTGCCAGGCACTGTGCTCCCCACTGCTGCAGCGGGGCGACGGGACCCTGTATTTCATCCAGACACCCGTTTCGACCTGGCGAGGAGACTTACTGCTGGGAAGGTAATGTACGTAAAATGCAGAGAGGAGGGAGGATCCCTTTCCCTTATTCCCCAGAAGCGCAGCAAGAACAGAGGCCTGCCAGGGTCTCTCCCCCCATTTGTGATTATCCTTCTTGGCTTTTTGTGTGATTAAGAATGATGTGAAGTCCTAATGCTGTTTTGGTGGCTGTCCGGGAAGAAACTGCCCCCTTAACACAATTACAGGCCAACCAGTGATGTCATGTGCTGGAGATGAGACCACAGTGAAGGGACTGGCTCGTGTCACGGCTGTGACAGCTGTTGTCCCTCCAGCCCAGAGAGCATGTGGCTGTAGCGGGATCTAGGGCAGGCAGCTTTCGGGAGCATCTCCAGGCATGGTGACGTGCTCCTACCTTACC